AGTTGTCATTTGCACTATCGTATGTCATAAATACTATTTGTTATTACTTCGTGAAGGCTTTATTCTTTCCGACTTACAGACGCTCTAAACTCTGCAGACACCTCCAAGTTGAGGCTTTTAACTAGTTTATGTCGATTCCTCAATAAGCAACCACTTTTTGAACAAATCGTCGTTTTATGGACTTTGGTTTCGTGTTATTGGACGCTTCGATAGATTTAACGATAGACATCTCAAATCACATCAAGTGCACGTTAATGAGTTTGTCAATTTTCATTAGTCGGTACGGTATTCAATGTCATTGTCTCAGACCTTCAGATGTCTAGTTGGATTTGTCTACAGGAGACCAAATGTTGATACCGAGTACGACAATAGTATGCTAGAAGGATTATCCCACTCTATTCGTTTCGTATGCGATTGTATTGCACTAGCCGTACCATGCAGCCGTCGAGTCACTGTATATTGAACGGTTCACTGACGTTCACCAAAGTCAACGATGACTAACGTGCGTGCGTTAATCGCATACCATAGGCTGGCCCATGCAGCAGTGGTTTCACTCTGTTCCCTTTATATACTTTTACTAACACATTTTTGTCATAACGCCATTTGGAATGTACGGTCATCAAAGCAGACATTGAACCTGAATATGAGGAAAGGGTAATCCAAGCTAAGCAATAACCTTGAGGTATGACTTCGATGTTATCTGGCTTGCCACACCATTCTCGTCTCACTTGAGTAGGGCCACAATCACCCGGCGTAAATCATATACGTTAGTGATCTACACACTCATATTCTGATTATGAGGGACTTTAGTCTTCCTAAAGTCAATTTTGCTGAACAAATTCAAGGTGGAAGAGATAATTCAGCTGGCCCTCAGTTCTTAGAAAGTGTGAAGTTATTAACTCAATACAGAGACAGTTAGACACCATCGTGCTTAGGCAGTATACTTACAACCAAAAAATTCTTAATTGACAATCTCCTAGCTCCCCTAAGAAATAGTCATCGCGCCACCATAACCCACAGCTTCACTAGTAAGACGGAGCTAAAACAGCCAAATGACAACAATCTTTGGAATTTTAAACGTTCGGACGCGTCAACTTTACAGAACAGTCTAAAACATTTGAAGTGGGAATCGCGACATTCACTCGACATCGGGGCTCACTGGGGCTTCTCAATAAGCACTACCTTGCGTGCTACAAACCAACCTATCCCGCAGACATTTATCGACAATTCTAGGTAACGTCCAACCACAAAGAATCGCACACTTATGTTGCTCTAACTCAGAAAGCACTACTGAGTGGAATACAAACTAACTGTTTACGATAGATCATATGGCCACTTCAGATAAGCGAGGAGCAAATGTACAGAGATAACAAGAAAAGATGGGCTTCCGTGTCAAATCAAGCTGATAGCTTGTTTCGTCTCCAATCCAAAAAGCTTATTCCATCATACAGTCTTTCTTCGACAAGCCAAAAGTGCAGTTTCATACGGTAATACTATAGAGCTCCAGCTAAAACAGTACCTGCAAACACTTGATCGTCACATACAAACTGCATCAAAGAAATTTTTGCCAACGTTTTAGCGGGAATCTCAGAAGAGGGTCTGAGCTCTGGACTGATGTATCAGAAATTCCATGATCTAAACAAGTACAGTTCCCCGGTTCGTGTATGGTTCACTCTGCTACGTTGCGAGAAGCCACTTCAGTCTTGATAGCGCCGCTTAGTATATTTTTCTCATGCCTCTAAGCCAATGTACGGTTCTGGACAATTAGAAGCTGGCACATATTACACCAATTACACCAATGTGTTAGCTTATTGCTGCTTTCTATGAATCTTACCTGACGACACCGTAATTCGTTTTGTCCAAACTGAATTTTCGGATGCATTTTTATGGTCTATGACTTCACGATGTAGTGACATTGGCTCTAACTACACTACTCTTTAAGTTGAACATAAGAAGACTGAGAAAATTCATATTCAACAATTAATACGGATAGATCAGAAATAGTGAACGTGGGAACGATTGATCAGTATGGCATGGCTCTGACGTGCAGGTCATTCTGTGTAACTTGTCCCTGTTCGTACTAAATATATTATTTTATCTTCAATCCAAATGTGTACATCAAAAGCGATAAACATCATATTGCTGATGGTCGCGATACCATGTGTCATCGTAGACTATGATGTGACTTCCACGTAAGAATTTATAATAATAACAATTTATTTTCAGATAACAATCTGTTACATAAGGCATGCTAGTTTACAGGCGAGATCAATTTGTTACAGAAAATACAGTCTTCACTGTTGTGGGGTATTCGATTAGTTTATTTCATAAGGTACATTTATCACAAAGGTATGAAGGATAATACTTCTCACATAGAAATGCAAATAATGTTGGTAAAATCCGTATTGCCAATATGACAGTTGGCGCGCTTTAGGGAGGCTGCATTGCGACGTGCAGCTGACAGTTGGGAGTAAACCCACCTAAATTTGAGAACTTCTATAAACTGTGACCTCATATCCCTCTGGAACATCTGTGGCATTAATGATGGAGCAGGACAAAGTCGTCCGTTCCATATACGTTATCGGTGACATGTCTTGGGAGTGCTGAAAAAGGGGGTAAGAAAAAAGAAGGACGTGAAGCAAAGCATACAATGTTCATGCTTGTTGGAATTGAGTCATTTGTATTGAAATAGTGAAGGTATGACCACTTAGTCTAATTTTCTATTATTAAGGTACGTTTTAAAGAAGAGCGTTCTAGTAGGTTAAAGAGAACAAGTGCACGCTTTGTCTTTAGCGAACTGTCTAGTTTTGCTTGTAATAGGATTACTCGCTAGGAAGTGAAACAAATTCCACATCACAAACACGATTTAAAGAGGTATTTTGTATAATAAATTATCATACATATCATTGGTTCGTGACATCTCATGTGACCATAAGGAGCCGCAATTTAACAAAATGTTCTGCCCCACAAACATGGGAGGATTGAAGTTATCTCCCTCGTTGGTCAGTAACATCACCGTCCTTCCTTTCGTGACGTTAGGCTCTATTACGTTTGTCGTGTTTATGAATATTGCTTTAATCTAAGCTCCTTGTTGGAATACACTGTCTCTAGTAGTTCCATGTTACGAGCAAATCATATGGTTAAAACCTCTGTATTGTGGGCTAGATATCCATTTAGTATATCACACAGCTATGAAGATTAATAATAGTAAAATTTAAAACACGGGTCAGATTATATGTGATTTAGAGATGGTAAGGATAAACAGAAAATCAAAGAATGTGCAAGGGTTTAAAAGTGTAAAATTTTCGGAGTAAGAAAACAAAACATTGAGCGACTCAGAAGAATTTAGGACATTATGAGTTTCTTATGATCGGCCGTAGTTGATCAGCATCCATGAGACTAGTGAGTTATCTGTCTACCTGTAATAGAAAAAAACTTATAGAATGAGCAGTCATATCATGACAAGTCTACGATTTCGGGATTACGTATGTCACCACAATAACAAAGGTAAATATGCCAATGCCAAATTATACCGTAATACAACAGTGTAGCCAATCTTAATATCTAGAAAAATACATTGCTGGGGTCTCTAATAGATTAAAAAAGTGAACTGTCCAATGAACCTCGTGTTTCAGGTGGTCTTTAAGATACAAATATCAGACGACAGTCAAGATTGCCCTGTAGAATATACCACAACACATCTCAATTATTGTATACTGGTAGGAATGAGTTCTTAGGTCCTGAGGGGAGTGAATACACGAGGGACGACGTCACCACATACATTCTCAGACCTTTCGCTTTAAAAAATAAATCATTCGTCACGAGAAAGATCCCAGTCAGTCCTATCGTAGGTGACCTATGTGGACAGTTGGAGTCTAATCCATTTGAACGGGAATGGTGTGGCCTGGCTTAAACAGAGATCACACATTGTAATTAATGCCTAACGCGGATAGCTCTTTCGTGGTACGCGAGTACTGTGGCCACTGTGATGATTGTACGGAATAAATATAACGTCATTTACAAGGTATATTAGTAAGGAAAATTCGAGGAACACAGTGGACCACCACTTTATAGGCCAGTACATGGCGTTCAAATGAAAAGTGCTCATTAGTCAACCTTTAGCATGATGGTGTTCAACAAACTGTCTAACGACCAGTGGCTTCGACTAACGTTGAAGTGGTTGGGCCCAATGGATGGTTTTCAGGGCTCATCGTGATCACACTGGTTCCAAGGCATCATCACTTACCCATGGTTCATAAAAGAACATTATATTTGAGCATACACCACATAATAGCTTTATGTATTTCGGAATTGCAAAACGAAACAAATTGTGAATGGGAGAGGGGTGACCTTTAAACATTGTTTGTGTTGGAGAAAATCAGGTTCCGAGAAATGTCAAACGGTAACACAGCTTTTGTGCCAGCCTCCTTAGGTTTTTGGCACAATGGGGTAACTTTGAGTTACTACACTCATACTTAATTATAAGAAGTTGTAGAGTTGAAGTTCTAGTCAAGCTCATCACCATCGACTTGTTCCATCATTAGTTGCAGGATGTCTGAGTAAGCTCACCACAGTTGTCTGACAGGCTGAGGTTTACTTTTAAAGACCCCAATCCTTTTTTAGGAGAGACTGAATGTTGTTCTAAGAGTAGTCATGACAATATCAGAGGAATCTGCAGTTATTTCGAGTGACTTAATTAGGGGTAATAAGGGAATGTGTCTAGGTCTGAGAAGTATTTCGAAGTAGTCACTGTGTAAATTTGACACGTTAATTCTGACTAGTATCAATTGTTACTGATTTGTTTCACGGAGAGCATTTTATTTTACAACTATCCATCTTTTCATCCAGGGACTCTGAAACACCCTGTCTGAGTAAAAATCAGATAGACTGGTTAAATTTCGCTCTTTTCTACCAGTATTGCTTGTTAGCAGCTAAGAAAGATCAACTATATAGTTTTTTCTTGAACGATTCAGTTTGTTTAGTGCAGCTCAGGTTGGTACGGTTGTTGAACCTGACACTAAGTGCGCGGAAGGTTTGTCCTCTATTTGATGATTGGTTTGACGAAGCTGTTTTGAATGTATGACAAACTATCTCTCTGTTACCAGAACCCCAATTTAACAAAGGGCTTTGAACCTCAGCAATTTACGTGTACATTAGATGTTAGACTTTTGAGATTGTCGATAGACTAGTAACCAACTTGACATTTTTAAAGTGCGTTGTGTACAGTTACTAAGGTTTAAAGTCTAAAAAAACCATCTACTTTAGTTTAGGTAGTAAATTGTATGGTAGTAAGACTAAATTATGAGAATGGCTGTATGTGACTTTATGATTCATTGACCTGTTAAAGTACATATTATGTAAACGAACTATGTATTGCATAAAAACATCAATGGATATGGAGGTTTAACTTAATAAAGTCCATAATAAGTTCGCTCAGGTAAATATCGTAGTACTTTCTGACATTTTTCAGACTATCATTTTGCTAAGACGCCCTAGTTTTTTCGAGGTTGTTTTTCACGAGTCCTAGCTAAGCGTCGGATGATTATTGAGGCCAATATTTTGGACACTATGTTAGTCAGACTGATTCGTCTATGGTTATCAGCACAGGATTTTTGTCCTTATAGACTGGGACGATCAGCGATCGAGACCAGTCAGACGGGGTTATATCAAGCTCCCAGATTCTGGCTGAGATTTCAGTCAATCTAATACCCAAAACTGGATTACTAACTTTAAATATCTCAGGGGTTAATCGGTCAAATCCTGCTACTCTCTTGGATTTTATGTTTCTTGTAGCCCTTTTTACCTGACTACGAGTTGTACACATCTGGATAGTGGGTAACTGGAATGCGACTGACGACCGGTTGGAAGTGTTCTCTTTATCCGTTTAATCCCCAGGATTGAAAGTGGGTAATAGTTCCGTCTTTCTCAGAAGTAACATCCGGAATTATTATACCCGTTCCTTTGATAAGTTTGAACGGTTATCTATTGTTACCAACCGCTGCCTTCTTTATCATCTCTGCTGCTACCTACTCCCCCTCACGAATACGTAGGCTTTTTGTCAGTCTACGTCTAAGCTGTCTTCGCTGCTCATCGTGTGCGGAGCCAAATAGGATGGATTTCCGTGCGTCTATCAGCCTCTGGAACCCACCGATTTTTTTTGCCGTTTACTTTAAGTTACTAGTGGGTGTCGCTGCCGTTTTCACAGCTTTTTAGATATTCTACTGAACCACCTTGCGGCATACATCGCTTTCACTGTTGACTAGATCTTTCACGAGTTTTCCCTGAAAATATTCTTTACTTTTCCATCATTACGTTGAACTACAAGATTTCTTGCTGTTGCTCTTGTACGTTCTGTAGGGGCGGCAAACCAAAACGGCATCAGTGCTTGAAGTCACTAACTTCTAGTCTGAGCCATGTTGGTAGATGCAGACTACTTGGTTGGGGTCCGCGTGACTCCTAACCAATGGTTGGAGACTGGGTGACGGCTCAGAATCGACCACAATGGCGTCGGTGTATACACTCTTTGTCTTCCCTTAAATTATAAGATTAAAATCGCTTTATATCTTTCTTTCTGTGAACTAATTCTTTCTTCCTGTACTATATCTTTATATGGAATCTTCGTTTTATATTTTACCACCACTAAATTAACTATTTCTATGAATTCAGTGTTCATTTTGTTGTGCTAGTGAGGTATAGCAACTTGGACCGATGTACATATGTACCTGGTCCTACGTTGTAGTTGACTGACTGAGTGAAGATACAAACAAACATGTGCCTTAACCAAAGCATTATCCGAGTCTAAACACGTGCTTCTGAATAAGCGACAGTCTTCTATATGGCCCCTCCCGCCAACGATGGTCTATAGGAATATTTGCTTTCTTTCTTGAGTCAGTCACCGAAATCTAAGAAAGCAGATATAAATGTTGACTCAAGATCATCAGTGTAGTTTAGTTTTGCTGGTATCATTAGTTCTCATACATAAAGTATGGCTGTTAGTCGAGTACATCTTAATATAGTAATGAATAGGGAAATACATTCAATTAATACATGAAAAAGCGAAGATATATGATGAACTAGTTTTAATGAGGTCACGGGTAAAATAATTCTATTTAGACACGAGAAGCATCTTGTAAATAATACAGTGAAAAATTACATGGATTATCCCTAGCTTTTATTCTGAGCCGCTGGGAAGCGTAGTAAGTAATCTCGACCAGTAGTTTTAGACCTTAGGTAGTATTCCTCAGAATACATGTACTCTTTGTTGCTCTGAATCATGGGTTTTACTATTGTTTTATGCTTCACTACATTTATTTTTGAATCTTAACACAATGCTGCTATTTCGACTTCGCGGTTTATCTTGTTCATTTTGTTTTGTGATGCTGGTTTGATGACTCCACTTAAGCTGATATATGAATGCGGTAGGTCTTACGTTTATTATGCCTGACTGAATCTTTACTAACATACCTCTGAAGATCTTGTGGCTGTCTGACGCTTAACTGTAACACAAAAACAACTGAACTAGAGATTTAAGGTCTAGACATTAGAATACTAACTTGATCTACCGCACATCGAATTTGGGGGTACAGACACATTTGTTGACATCTAACAGCAATCGCACCTTTGAGGATTTCATTGAAAAGCACATCCTTGGAGAATGTGACTTCAGATATCGAACTTCAATTGAACAGTACTGACTAGTTAGTGATCACCTACTGGTAGTTACGCTTACAACTAAACAGGGAATCAGTTGATTTGTGCTTTGGACATCCATAACTTAGTTTGACCTTAATGTAGTCTACCAATAGATGGACATTGAAATATCATGTTACAAAATTAACCCATTGTGTCATTAAAGAGAAATAAAAGACCAGTGAAGAAACTTTTTCAACGACATCACTTACTCAAGTTGTACAGATGTATTCATGGTTATTCAACAAACTAAATAACCTGTCAAAGAATAGGGAGCTCAATGCCTAATAAACTATTCAGGAACTCCAAGCGTTAAAACAGGGTTGCGTAACCATCGATAAAGTGGATCCCAATTTGTGAGGGAATTGTTAATTTGGAGTATATGAGTGTTATAACTTGTGGCCTGTGTCCTGTTAATGTACAACGTAATAATACCGCCAATCAGCAGTAAATTATCGATCGGACCAGTAACGCATAAAACACGTACGAGCAGTCTAGAGTTCTTATTGGTCTTGCTTCCTGCCTAGCCCAGCCAGTTAAGTCCCTAACACCAATCTCAGCCTCTGCGATATGAATCATTTCAAGCATACTGGGTTTATATACCAATCAAGCAGACCACACCGTACCATAAAATATGAAACAACATTTGTACAAGAATTAACCAAATGTGGTTATGAATGAGGGAGGTAGTAATTAATAGACGGCATAATTCAAGAATGGCAGATCGTATAATATTAGTTCGTAGGTCAAAATAAAGCTCATAATAAGAGGGAAATGAATATAAACAGTTTGGTTATTTAACAGTTATACGATAAAAATATACGCATAGTATTGGTCCATAAATGGATCCCAAAAGTTACCATTCATTATGCTTATCCGGACATAACAATGAGGAAGACAAGGTAAAGTAAAATTACGTACTATTAATAACGAGTCATCAAAAAGGTATAAACGCTAGGGGAAAGTACTCACTGCTAACTTATACAAAAATCAAGTGTTAGAGCTATGGGTAGGATCGGAGCTTGAACTTTTCGCTTTTTCACGAAGTTATGGTTTAAAAGGAATTTTTAACGCCTTTGTAATACACAGATTATTTGTTTGCGCTCACTTCAAACTCAATTATTTGTCTGTTTAGGTGATCTTGAAAGATATATCTGGTGGAACACTATGATTATAGTCGACAAGCTCTTTCAACATTTACCTGTTTCTTATTTCGTAGTTTGTTTTCTGCATCTGATATTATTCGGCATGTTTTATTTTTTCCTCTAAATGTCATTCCTCTACTAATTACAATTCTAAAAAATCGATTCGAAAGCCATTCTATATTTACTCCAACTGTAGCTTCACACAGACTGGTTGAACGGCACTACAGAAATTGCTTGAATAAAGTAACTATCGAAAAAAATAAATCCTACAAACATCTGATTTTCCTCTGTCACGAAATTCATAGTACATCAATCGAGATGTTTAAACGTACATAGTTCTGCTCGGTACATCAAATTAATAGAATGAATACCATTGCTGTGATGTAGGCAGATAATCTTGTTTTTTTGGTTGGTAATTCACCCGTAAAAAAACAGGCTACAATCCAAAATCAAACAAGATAAATGTGGTGGACATTCTAGACGCAACTCAATTTGAGATTGTTTAGTTATGAACATAATTAACGAAGAAACCTTTTGAGACCCAATCCTACAAGAAGTTAGAAAGTTCCATCTAGAAGGGTGGCCTTCAAAAATCAGCTCTACAGAGCTTCAGCAGTTTTACTAGCATAGACTCAATCATCGACGACTGCCTGTTGTTTGCTGAATGTGTCATAATCCCAAAGAAGCTATAATCAGCAGTGCTTGAACAGTTGTGGTTATGAATGAGGGAGGTAGTAATTAATAGACGGCATAATTCAAGAATGGCAGATCGTATAATATTAGTTCGTAGGTCAAAATAAAGCTCATAATAAGAGGGAAATGAATATAAACAGTTTGGTTATTTAACAGTTATACGATAAAAATATACGCATAGTATTGGTCCATAAATGGATCCCAAAAGTTACCATTCATTATGCTTATCCGGACATAACAATGAGGAAGACAAGGTAAAGTAAAATTACGTACTATTAATAACGAGTCATCAAAAAGGTATAAACGCTAGGGGAAAGTACTCACTGCTAACTTATACAAAAATCAAGTGTTAGAGCTATGGGTAGGATCGGAGCTTGAACTTTTCGCTTTTTCACGAAGTTATGGTTTAAAAGGAATTTTTAACGCCTTTGTAATACACAGATTATTTGTTTGCGCTCACTTCAAACTCAATTATTTGTCTGTTTAGGTGATCTTGAAAGATATATCTGGTGGAACACTATGATTATAGTCGACAAGCTCTTTCAACATTTACCTGTTTCTTATTTCGTAGTTTGTTTTCTGCATCTGATATTATTCGGCATGTTTTATTTTTTCCTCTAAATGTCATTCCTCTACTAATTACAATTCTAAAAAATCGATTCGAAAGCCATTCTATATTTACTCCAACTGTAGCTTCACACAGACTGGTTGAACGGCACTACAGAAATTGCTTGAATAAAGTAACTATCGAAAAAAATAAATCCTACAAACATCTGATTTTCCTCTGTCACGAAATTCATAGTACATCAATCGAGATGTTTAAACGTACATAGTTCTGCTCGGTACATCAAATTAATAGAATGAATACCATTGCTGTGATGTAGGCAGATAATCTTGTTTTTTTGGTTGGTAATTCACCCGTAAAAAAACAGGCTACAATCCAAAATCAAACAAGATAAATGTGGTGGACATTCTAGACGCAACTCAATTTGAGATTGTTTAGTTATGAACATAATTAACGAAGAAACCTTTTGAGACCCAATCCTACAAGAAGTTAGAAAGTTCCATCTAGAAGGGTGGCCTTCAAAAATCAGCTCTACAGAGCTTCAGCAGTTTTACTAGCATAGACTCAATCATCGACGACTGCCTGTTGTTTGCTGAATGTGTCATAATCCCAAAGAAGCTATAATCAGCAGTGCTTGAACAGTTGCACGTAGGACATCCTAGAATAAATCGAATGGAAGCACTATCACGAAGTTATATATACTGGCCGCATTTAGACTTTCAACTGGATCATCTGTCCGTTCGTGTACCAAATGTGCCTTAGCAAAAAAGGCACCGCGAAAAGCAGAGCTGCAGTCATGACCAATACTACAGTCACTGTGGCAGCGTATACACTTGGACTTTGCTGGCACACTTCATGGACAAACATACTTTCTGGTAGTTGATGCATACAGAAAGTGGACAGAAAATTTTCTCATGGAACACCCAACTGCAAGCTGCACAGTAAACTACGTCAACTATTCAGTCGTTTCGGAGTCTCACAATTGATAGTTAATGATAATGGAACACAGTTTACGTCCGCTACCTTCCCAGAATTTTGTCGGCCGAACGGAATAAATCATGTTTAAACACGTCCATTCCATCTTCGATCCAATGGTCAAGTGGAACGCTGTGCGAGTACATTTAAAAATGCTCTAAAAATATAAAGAGTAGGTGACCACCGGAAAGATCCTAGCGAGGTTCCTTCTTATTTATAGTTATACATCAAACCCTCAGACGATTAACGGGGTCTCGCCAGCAGAATCTCTACTTGGCAGAAAAATACGAACACATTTCGATGTCATTTGTCTTACGCCAGCTCTTGAGCCTCAACGAAGCGTATCGATGGGGAAGCAGTTCAATCGACGTCATGGGGCACAAAGCTGATTGTTCATGGTGGGTCAGAAAGTACTTGCAATGGACTATCGTGGAAAACATCCTACATGGACAGCTGATCGGATCGTGCAAGAGAAAGGAAATGTGGTTTATGAGGTGTCAGTTGGCTCAGAAGTTTGGGTACGTCATGCTAACCAATTGGAAGCAACTTCGATAACCAGCAACGAGACTCGTTATAGAATATCTTTTAACGTTCTGCTAGACACCCTTGAAATCGAAATGCCTGGAATAGACAGGTCAGTTTCTGTGCAAGCGAAGAGTGATACAACTTTATTGCCTAGATGATGAACAAATCGAAAGTACAGGCCAGTCACTCGGTTGCAATTGAACCCTAGCACCCGATCCTACGAATCTGCTCAAAGGGGAAGTGTTAGCGGGACATAGATTGGATTAAGGCATGTTTCATGCACGATTACTTTGCTGCGTGCTGATTGGCTGATTCTTAACTAATCAGCGCTAGTCGATACTTGGAGAAGTCTCTAGAATTCTCTCGCGTAAAAACTATAAACACACTGGCGTTTTTCTTATTGTGCTTCTTCCATCTACTCTTGTTGTTTGGAATATAATTTCTTTCCTGATCAACCGTGTTCTGATTTGGGGACTTGTCGAATGAATTGGTGTCCAAGAATGCTAAGCAATGGGAATAGCTGAGCTATAATAGAGAATTATAACATTTTAAACCCCTTTTGTCCCATCTACTCAGGTAGAAATCGTTACCCCAGCCGTCTGTGTCAGTTGTTGTTTGTTAAACCCCGTTGACACCGTACTTCCATTTAGTTTTACCATGATTACCCAAGGCCGTGAATTTAAGTTCTATTTCGTATTTTTCATTAGATTTTGTACCTTTGTTTGGTAAACGGGACTCAAACCCGTTACTCATTAATTCTGTTGCGTTTGTGTATTTCACTAGTGTGAAATGATTTATCTTAAAGTTTGTATCAGATCAGTTTGTTTCCGGCAATCATCTTTTTTTCAGGTTAGTCAATCATGGGTGTTCCGGCTTTTTTCAGATGGCTGAGTATGAAATATCCATCAATTGTTACCCATTGTGCAGAGAAACGTGGAGCTATTTTGGATGACGATGGCAATAGATCACCTATAGATACGTCGGAGCCGAATCCAAATGGAGAAGAGTTCGACAATCTATATTTAGATATGAACGGTATTATCCATCCATGTACGCATCCAGAAAACAAACCAGCTCCAAAAACGGAGTCGGAAATGTTCCTAGCTATTTTCGAATACATAGATAGACTGTTTGCCATTGTTCGCCCTAGAAGAGTACTGTATATGGCCATCGATGGAGTGGCTCCACGTGCTAAAATGAATCAACAACGCTCCAGACGTTTTCGAGCGGCTCAAGAGGCAAAAGAAAAACAAATAACTATTGAGCGTTTAAGAAATGAACTAATTGCAAGAGGGGCGCATCTTCCACCACCTAAGGAAGAACATTTTGATTCTAATTGTATTACTCCAGGAACACCATTTATGGCACGTTTGGCTGTTGCTTTAAGGGGTTATATATATACTCGTTTGACAAAAGATCCAGGATGGAAGAATCTGATGGTTAGTTTTCGATGTGATTAGAATGATGTGTTCTGCGACTTTGGTTTTAAATTGAATTGGCTTACAGTTTTGATGCATATTTATCACAATAGTTTGTAGTTATTGTGACAGTTGAACTACCTTGAATACATCGGCTAATTTTGTGTTGTTTTATCTTTCATTTGACCGTCTTATCACTTTTACGTCAGTTTTTCATTGTTTCTTAATACCCTAATCATAAGATCTGATGTTACGGCAGTCATTTTTCAAAAGGGTTTGGGATTTTCCTCATCCGGAGATTATAAACGTTTTCCTAGTAGTTATGTGTGGTCTCTTTCCATATAATACACTAAAGCCAACTGTATAGCTATTAAGTTTGTGACCTATGTAGAATATAGTTACAGTTTTCTGAATTCGTGCTACAACGTTGTCAGACATCAACCCATTAGAGAGAAACTTTCAAGACTAATACGCCCAACTACTTCACTCTCTATCAGTAGTTCAGGGAGTAACATTTTGCATCTAAGGGGAGAGGAACGCACCCCGAACATACCTGTATTGTTGCTTAAGGTGGTCAAAAGACTGGGTTTTGTTAGCGTCTTCTCCACATAGAGCCATATCATCTGCGTATTTTAAGCCATCAGGTAAATCTTTTGGTGAACCAACTCCCGCAAAGTCAGACGATGAGTGTCATCTCTAAAAGTATGTCTATGACATGGTTAAATAAAAATGGGGAAAGTTAACAAACCTGATGAGCACCACTTGAAGTAATCAGTTCCGACTACAGTTCTCCATAAGCTCTGATTCGACCATTAATGTTTGAGTAGAGAGCATGTACAAGGTTAATGTACCTCTTTTGGTATGGCTTTCAGTGACAGACTGTCGAATATAACCTCACGATTAACAGAGTCGAATGCCGCCCTAAGGTCAAGGGATAAAATTATAGTCGGATGTCGAAAATTATATATGTGTTCCAGAATCTGCCGAATAGTGAATATTTGGTGTATACATCCATATCCAGATCTGAATCCAGTTTGATTTTCTCGAGGTTGTTTTTCACGAGTCCTAGCTAAGCGTCGGATGATTATTGAGGCCAATATTTTGGACACTATGTTAGTCAGACTGATTCGTCTATGGTTATCAGCACAGGATTTTTGTCCTTATAGACTGGGACGATCAGCGATCGAGACCAGTCAGACGGGGTTATATCCAGCTCCCAGATTCTGGCTGAGATTTCAGTCAATCTAATACCCAAAACTGGATTACTAACTTTAAATATCTCAGGGGTTAATCGGTCAAGTCTTGCTACTCTATCGCCTTAGATTAGCTACTTTTTTTCTATTTCATTAAGAGTTGAATGTTTTGTGTCTACATCCCTTTCAGGTTGCTTGGTAAAAGTAGGCAACCAAAGGATACCTGGAGAGCAGTTAGACTATTCTTCAGAGTTTTTTGTTCATCGTTTCAACCTTCTGAGTTGAGTGGATCATTGTCCCATCACTTTTGGAAATTGTCATCAATTCCCGGATTTTCAATTTCCATTTATTCGACAAGTATAAGAAGTTTGTTTTTGTCTAGAGCCGCTTCCTTTTTCCATCGCTTTCACTGCTCATAGTCGTTGTGTAGACGTTTTGTCAGCTTACGTTTAAGTTGCATTCTTTCCTCATTGTGTTTCAAGCCTAATGGTTTGAGTTTTAGACATTTTATAGATTCGGTACGCACCACTGAAATCTACTAATTTTTCTTAACCTATTGATTAAAGCCACTAGTAAATATCATCGCACTTTCCACAAGTGTCTCAATGTTATGCCAATCCATATAACTTTAGTGATTGAGTAATTGCTCTAGTTCGTGAAACGTACTCTTGGTATTTTGTTGTTAAGTTGAACTTCAAGGGGTCTTCTTAGTATAGCTTCTATGTGTCCACTAAAATGTTATATCTACGCCAACAAGGTTATCAGAAGTCATGATCAAGTCTCTAAATAAACAAAGGGAAAATTCCACAGGTTCTCTGCTTCAGCTACGTAAGTTCAAGTCGATGATCACGCTTGAATCCTGTGTGTTTCGGAGACATGGCGTACATTGATGGCACAGGATTCTGGAGTTGTAACTAAGTAAATCTTTTGGCTTATTTGACATAGGGTTCGATATTGAAAGCTTTGGTCATGATCAAGGGATCTCAAGTGCTGTTAAAGGTATGGTGGAAGTTATCACTTTTCAGTCCCTCACACTGTGGTGTGGTAGGATATTTCTTCTTGAGGGACTTAAAAATGAAACAGACTTAAAGGTGATCTTAAAGACCTTGAAACTGTGACCACAGAGGCCAACGGAAAATTTCTTAAGGTTATTTACTTACAACCTTTACATGTGAAGCTTTCGATGTGTCAGCTTTATATTTCGAAAGACTTTATCGCTGGAGATAGAAATTCGTGTGGATAATATGTGGTGTAGCATTTTTAAGGTCGACATTTTCTAACCTCTCTTTCGTTGTTAGAAGGCAGCTTCACAGCAGATGCTAGATTTTGAAGGGAAATACTCTCATATCCTTGTACAGTCAGCAGTACGACTTCGCCCTCGAACTTTAGGTTGCTGTTTTTTGTCCTACTGTTCTTCAGCCAACCCGCTCTGCGTGATAAGACATAGAGGAACATGTGTACCACCCATTATAATCCAGTTGAGTCGTCACAGCAAGCAAGCCCAGACACCACGTCAAGGTGACAGATCCGATCGAGTCATTTGTGATTGATTTTAGGCCAGTATCGAGTTTTGTAGGGAGATGGCTTTTAGTGGTCTCTGAGGTGGTCTTCAATTTCAAGTTCATCAAGTTAATTAATGCTTTACATTTTATTCATTATTTTAAGGTATTCTTGAGTGACGCAAATGTTCCTGGTGAGGGTGAACATAAAATCATGGATTTTATCAGAAGACAGAGAAATAATCCAACCCATGACGCCAATACGAAACATTGTTTATGTGGCGCCGACGCTGACCTTATAATGCTTGGATTAGCCACACATGAACCATATTTTACTATTATTCGTGAGGAATTTAAACCAAACCAACCAAAACCTTGTGATTTGTGCGGCCAGATGGGTCATGAGATGGAGGACTGCGTAGGTGCTCCAAAAGAAGAAGATCCAAACGAAGGCCCTCCTCCACTACCTTCAGGAGATGTGGTATGCTCATTCATTTTACGATGACTTAATTTGTTTTTTTAGTTCTACACTAATTGTTTTTGTTAACCTTTGTGTCGTGAGTTAGTTGCTATAAAAACAACAAGCAAAAGTCAGCCAACATGTTTCAGCTATTTCTGGATGTCAATAGAATATGACCTTAACGTTTATTATTTATTATTACCACTCTTAAAATTCACATTTGCTTTACTATATCGCATATAAATCAACAGACAAGAGTTCATTACATTTTTTTCTGATAATGTCATATAATATCCTTCATAAGGTAGGTTTTTGTAGATTAGTAGTAATTTAACCTACTAACGATTTACAATTACACAAATTAGCAGTGACAAATCTGTAGAGTCATAATATCAATCTGTTAATAATCCTCTTTTTGCAAGTCACTATTTCCGTTTGGTTTCAAGTATTTACACATAAATCTTAAACATGTATTCTCTTGAAAGTATCATAAGATATACAGTGATTCGATTTGTAAATGTTTTCGGTGATAGCTTACTGAATTACTTCATTCTGAGTTTATTTCTCAAAATTACTTACTTCAGCGAATTTCGCAAACGAGAATTGCACAGTAATTGAGCGCATTCGAACTCTACAATTAATCAATCTCTAGATAAACAAACAAGCACTCCAGCAGCTTAATATGTTTAAAGAACTTCATTTACCAAGTGCTGTAGTGTCGGTTACTATGTTAAGGCCACATGACTTATTCTAGCTTCTGAACAGGTCCATTTATTCATTCTTATTGAGTCACGTTTTAACCTTGGTAATTATTTGCTTATCAACCCTGACTTTTTATGTGAGCGTATGTATGTGTGCATCTTATCCTACTCATCACATATCTGTAGTTTATTTTTTTGTGACTATAAATATTGATTAACGCTTGATTAAATCAAGTTGGCCCACATGTCTTTTCCACCGCGTGTGATTTGGTTTCGCTCTCTCTTCTCTCCGCTTCATCCCTCTGACTGTTTGTCTAGATCAATGAGTGTACAAAATACATATATTCAGAAATCCATTCTCGTATTTGACTAATTTAGTTCCGTTATTCACTAACGCGGATCAAGTCGATAATTATATACGAGGATTGGCTAAATGTACATTTCAATAACATACGATCCAATTGGAGTCAGATATAGGGCCACAAAAGTGGTGAGCGCGTTGACAACATCTGATTTAATTGACGTCAAAATGAAGGGCCCCACTAAAATGTCACCAAACAAGCCTTCAGCACAACTAATGTCCATTTTTCTAATTTCCTTTAATTATTTGTTCACTAATTAGCTTAGTGTGTAATGTAATAAAACATCCTGGATTTTTTAGATATCGCAAAACTTTTGCGCAGTTCCAAACGTTTCATCGATTGCATTTGTTATTTGGCGAATAAGTTATATTATCTCGCTGCATGGTTTGGCTAAATGGAATAAGGTTGTTGGGTTAGGGTGTTGGTCAACCCGGGTCTGTCAAAAACGATTGATACACCAGTCGACTAGCTTGTTGCCGGTTGTTTAGACAGAGGCTTACTTGCTCGATAGTAGGCAATATCAGCATCTCAAAGTCATTCAAAGTACTTATTCAGCGTATTTTTCAGTTGAATAAATAAGTGTCCCCTCAAAAAGTGGCTTTTTAGAAACCCTTACTGTGCTAATACTAATAAATAAATTCATATATTACTACTGCTCGTCCTATGTGTATAAGCTGTTTATAATTTTATATGCAGTGCTTCCTCAAATATGTTTTAATAAGTCACTGTAAGTTGTGAATTGTTTTAGATATAATGATCATTGTTTTCAAGGTTTCACCGCTTATCCTCGTTCTTTTTCATTTTTATGTTTGTAGGATTTCATCTTTATTCGCTTGAATGTTCTAAGACAATATCTCGCAGAAGATCTAAAGTTGGCCGGCATTACATTTGATTGGGATCTCGAACGAGTCATTGACGATTGGGTTTTTATGTGCTTCTTCGTTGGAAATGACTTCCTCCCTCATCTTCCGAGTTTGGAAATCCGCGAAGGAGCAATTGATCGTTTGATTGAAATCTATAAGTCAACAGTCCAGAAAACGGGAGGGTGGTTGACTGATAGTGGACGAGTCAATTTAGAGCGTGTCCAACTCATTATGGTTGATTTGGGAAAGATGGAGGATGAGATCTTCAAAAATCGTCGTGAATCAGAACTTCAGTTTCGTAATAGAAAGCGTCAACATTCATCTGGCAATGGTTATGATAAAAATCAACGCGGGTTCGCTCCACAGCGATTGGGTCACCGCCCATCATATGAAGTGTCTCAATCTGGTTTTATGGAACCAATCCCCCTAAGAGGACGTCACGGAATAGCACATCCCAAAGGTCACTATACAAACCAAGTTGTTTCTGCTAATGAGTTATTAGCTGCACGACGTTATCAGGGTAGATGTCAAGAAAGTGTTAATTGGGTGGATAGAAATCTAAATAACCTCGAGGCAGCAACAGCATTGAAAGCTATGCTGAAACGCGATAAACCTATTGAAAACGGAATCTCAAATAATATGAATAATTCTACTATTCTTCCGAAAATACCTCGGATTACTGATAACAACACAAGTCTACAATGTGTTTCATCTGGTCGCAACAACAGATCAGGTAATCATCACAACGATGAGGATGAGATGATGGATGCTGCAGATGAAGTACGGTTTTGGGAAGATGGATGGAGATCACGGTATTATCGATCTAAATTTGGAGTTGATCCGACAGATGCACCTGGGTTCTGTATCAAAGTTGGTCAGGAATATGCCCTTGGTTTATGCTGGGTCTTAGCCTATTATTACCAAGGTTGTGCTTCATGGGATTGGTATTTCCCGTATCATTATGCTCCATTTGCTAGTGACTTCTCCAACATCGCAGAACTCGATGTTGACTTTTCGAAAAAAGAAACAAAACCGTTTAGACCACTGGAGCAACTAATGAGCGTGTTCCCGGCCGACTCTCGTAGTCACGTCCCTCCAGCGTGGCAGGACTTAATGACTGACCCCGACTCCCCTATAATCGATTTTTACCCAACAGACTTCAAAGTAGACTTGAATGGCAAACGATATCTGTGGATGGGTGTAGCTTTGTTACCATTTGTTGATGAGGTTCGTTTGCTGAAAGCTTTGGATGCCCGAAGAAATCTTTTAACAAAAGAAGAGATTGAGAGAAATGTTCGTGGTTCAGACCAGTTGTTTTGTAGAGCTGATCATTCTGCTGGTCCATTGTTGCATTCTCTATACAAAGTATCACATGAAAAGATTGAGAAAGATGATTCGGAAGAACAAATCATACCAACTTGGGCATCTGCGATTGATCCACGTGTTACGTTTGGAATTAGTGGTCTAATCTGGCCTAACAAAATGGCTTACTTACCTGGTAGTCGTGTACCTAGTGCAGTCCCAGGTCACGTTCCTGATTTAAAGGTTTCTGAAGCTGTATCAATATATTTTTCAGATCCTCAATATCCAAAGGGCTTCGTCTTTCCTTCCAAGTTACTTGAATCCGTAAGTTTCCATATATTGTTATGTTGGATATTTCCGACAAGCTTCTATTCATTTAGATCGATTGTCGTCCCCATGTGACACAAATTTATATAGTAAACTGTTTTATGTCCTGTTTTTCCCCATTTTTTTTTCTCCGTATGCATCGCAGGTGTAGAATAGGCGAAAAACATTTGAGCAACTTATCCAGGTCAGATGTTCATGAATTAAAAAATACTTTTTTAGTGTACATTATGAAGTGGAATTCTGTTAATCTTATTCCATAGTGTTTTTACGGAAGTCAGTAGAGGCAAAGCCATCGCTTTTAAAAAGACTCATTTTTAAAACATTCGTAAATCGAATAAACGATTGGGCTATCGGGTAGCGACTGTAGATAGTTGTAAGTAGAGGTAGCCAGAAACATGAAGCAATCATCAAGTATTGTCTTAGTGACTACTTTGAAAATTGATTTTCAAAATAAGACTAAAGTCGAAAATATGGATCACTTAGTCCCAATCCATTGTACTAATTGTAACACACAATTCGAGGTTTGATGATCCATGATACAGATATTTTTACGGTTTCGAGAGATCATACACAATATGTATAGTTCACAATTTAGCGCATGAATTTGGACACATAAAGTATTATATTGACAATATAATACTTTACACATTTACGTTTGTACAAGTTGATACATCTCGCAACAGCTCAGTCAATAGAAATAGAAATTTATCAATATAAATAAGATGCTATGATTCGGAAAGGTAAAACAATCGGCTGAAAACACTTAGGAGAAAAAACGTAAAAAGCAAATGGGTTTACTTAATTAAGTTTAGTTTCAATCCATGTCATCTAAGTCTCCGAATACTCTGGTACGACCAGGAGTGGGGAGAGTTCGCTCTCCCCCTCGAAATGCTCTCACATGGCCACGTGCATACAACCACTACAGAGGAAGTTCTTCTCACTGTCTTCTCATAGTGGAGATGTTGTTTATGAAGAGCGAATGTCCGGCGCTTTAACCGGGTTGGTGGATATGGAAAATCCGCCTAGTCGAGTTGGAAAACCCTGATTCAAATCGATGGTGCACATGGGCTTCAGAATCCTGACGGAGCAAATGGCATATGAACCAACCGTTGGTCACCGGCTACCATGGGACTGCATCTCCTAAAGATGCTCCACTGCCTTGTAGATTAGACCTTTAGATCAAAGGTTCGGACTATGGCCCCCTAAGAAAACCACTTACCCTGTACGGGCACCCGGGCAATATCCCAGCCCTCACACAACTTGAACGATTTATGTGGTGCATATCTATTTGGTGCCTCCTTGCACCAATGTTTGTGTTTAAATAAAGTAAATGTCATTTAAGATCTCCAATTACAGGCTTTCGCATTTCTGAGGGTCTCGGTGTTTGGCGGGATTGCAGTTTTCAAGCCTTGGAATTCCTATGAATCATAAAAGTATTTTAGTAATCAAGTAATTAACTCGTTTGTTTTCCGATCATCAAAAGTAGGTTTCTAACCTTTTATGACAAATATTTGTAAAGATTAACAATTGAAAATAGTGTACGGTAACTTTTTCTAGATGTTATAATCTAGTTTAATTTAAATACTGATTTGGTTCCGAACTTGTACGTGACTTACAAGACTCATCGTATTCTCAGTTTGACTTTTTAAAATATAATTTACCAAACTTGTGATGAATAAATGGAGTTTTTTCTGTTTTTTGAAGGTTAAAATGCCACCCCCAGTTTACCTTCAACCTCCTCAGCGTGGCAGAGGAAGAGGACGAGCAAGTTTTCGCACCGATGAACATCGTGGACGTTTTAATGCCAATGCAGCTATCCAGTACTATGCTCGAGACAGTTCGTCAGATAGGGAGGATACTGGTAGAGATTTTTATCCAAACTCACCGATGAACAGGATGGTTATGAATTCATTACCACGATATCAGCGCAGTCGAGGTAGCCACTTACAGTATTCATCTAGATCAGATTGTGGCAAACTAAGTAACAACATTCCACCAAATTGGCGACCTGGGTCTTTTAATCGTTTTCCTCCTCAAAATGATGCTTATCATCGAGGTGGACCTGCCTATCGTCAATCTAGTAGTCATCCGTACGCTAACCCATATTCTGTCCATCCTCCAAACTTCAGTACAGGTCTTTCCAATTCAGTCGTTAAGAACAGCCGCCCACCATGGTTGCCTCCAAATGGTAGAGGTTGATAAAAATATCAAAGCTTCTACTACTTTTTTTCATATTCATACTACTTTCTTCCTGCATTTTTATATTTTATTATTATAACACAATATTAGTTGTATATGATGTAGAAATTATTTTGCGCCTGTACAACATAAGTAATAAATATTTACTCCTTTCTCTACCCCTTCTATTTACATTAACATGTATATTAGTAACTGTATTCTGGCACAATTAAACAGAAAACTTTGATATGGCAATTTGTATAGTGAATATCACTGATCATTTGTCAATTTCTATTTAACAGCTGAGTAGTGACACTGAATTGTGAAAGCCTAATATAATTTTTTCAAAATTTCAGCTGTTAATATAAACAATTGATATTCTGTTCCAAAGATTTTTATTAATTTCCTCATTCTTAGTGAATTTTTAAACCGTACTTGTTACGTACTGAACAACTGGTACTCAATTCAACTAAATGACTCAATTGGATCCATAAATAATTCACAACCTAGGTTCGCATTGTTTTAGATTATTCACTGTCCTGGCCACTAACAGTTGAATAAACACTGGATGATATTTTTTACTATGTGATAATGCGAAATACCTGGGTATTTTTAAATCTGTTAGGTTTAACTTAGTACGATTTTGCATGAATATTCCAGTTCTCATAAAAGACTTAAAACTTTCAAAACCGTGATGGAAGATCTTTTTAATGAAAAGCAATGGGTCCAACAAACGTACCCCGTTCTTTGATATACTCAAGAGTTTGTAAGAATGTATTTTACATAATAGTAAGATCGTATAGTACGTAGTTTCAGTGAAAATGAGTGGATGTGCATGAGTACTCACTGCTGAAAATATGATAGATTTTACTCACATTAACTTGCGTTCTAAATTGAATAGGTCATTTATGACGGAATATCATGAAAATACAACTCATGAAATCCTTACAGGTTTACACATTAGATTTCAAACCATACCACCACTTCGCTTAGGGTTTCTGAATTAGACTACAGATTGACAAGTAATGGTCCTACTATTTCAAGCATTCTGAGCATAGAAAGGAAGTTGCTCGTTCTTACTGTATCGTTATTGATATCTTAGGTTTGCTTAGCCACGCCTCACTCAAAAAGTATAGGCCATCTAAACCTCAGTCTCCAGATTATTGTACACATAGGACTGCTAATCATTTCAGTTCAGTTAATTTAAAACTAGAGAATTTCGAAATAGAACATTGCATTAGTTATTATTCAGAAGTGGTTAAGATCCTGTTTTTTTGTGCTGATATATAGATATGTAATATTGGAACTGAATAAAGTATCGTCTCGCCAGTAAGTTTTCCTGAACATTAAAACTGAGTCAATATGAAAGCCAGCTCCTGATTTTACTTTATTTTAAACCCCTACCATAGCGTGCTGTTTATCGTTCAACAGTTATTTCTTATCAATAGGATGAACCGGTCTAAGTTAGACTTATACTGAGAACTATGAAGCACTAAATAGCTGTTTCGTCCTAGTGTGAGAATTTTACCATCACACGACCTTAGCGAAAAAAAAATATATTAGCGCAGTATATTTGGGACTAATCACACATTAACTTGTTAAGAGCGTCGACATAGACAAACTGGATCCTAAGTGTAATAAGGAGAAGACGAAAGCACATTACTGTGAATATTGAATTTAAATTAGCAGATTACTGGGGCAGGTTTAATGTAAGTGCAATGGGTAGGGCTGATTTTTTGTATGGTTAGATCTTCAATATATGTTATTAACCATCATTCTACAAAAAGTAAGCTGAGATTGACCTTACTCCCTGTTTCAATGATATATCGGGCAATAAAGAAAGTTCTAATAGTACTATATTTATTACTAACTATCTACCCAATACTCAATTTATTTGAAAATATCAAGTCTAACAATGGCATTGATACTTATAAATAGTCAATTATTACAATAAATAAATAGCATCACATGGTTACTCAGAGATAACCAGCCTGGAAACACAAATAACTTTCTCAAATACATACTTGTTTTATCTATAACAAACCTTTCTTGATTTCCAATCAGTCATTTACGTGTCGAGTTGTATTTTTATTGAGTTGACGGAAATCGCTTGATTCATGTGTTAACACTTATTAATGAGATCACAATTTATTAGAAGTTATTGTAATATGAAATTGATTTTCTATGTAAAATGTAAATGAATAATTTTGTGATTCAAAATGGTGGGGTTTTTTTAATTCTTACCGTTTTTCAACATATTGCATAAAGTTTATTTATTCATTAAATATACTTCACATAAAAAATGGTTTGCGTTACGATAACACGGTATCTAATTTATATTGTTTGACTATCGTTGACACCTTGTTTAGAACTCATAAATAGCTTTAGAATTTATACTTAAAGCGATATGGATCGACTGTCAAAAAAAAACGAGACCGGAAAATGCATTGAATGTTCTAGCACCTGTAAGTGTATCTCATTCCACTTTAAATATTATGCCATTTTTATTAGTACATTCCCTAAGTAAAACCATTTACGTGCTGTCACTTTATGTTAACACCGTCCCCAGAAAGTTTAAATAAATTGAATAACATCAACAGTATGTCACATGACACACGCATTTTGGTAGACCTGATTGATATATTTTGGTAATTACTACTTTGTTGTTCCGTGCTCTCTTTTTTGGTTTTAATTTCTTTAGTTGTAGATAATTATCATTATTTTGATCTCGCACACGAAATGACCTTAATTACACTGTTCATAAATCAACAGGCTGTCCATTTAAGAAATATTAAAAACTCCCGGCTGATGCATTGGATCGCTATAATACATGTACTACCTAAACAACCACTGAACTAGTATACTTAAAACTCTCTTCTATCACATGTTTGTTCTGTTCATCTAATATTACTATTTATATCAAATTGATCATGCTTGTAAACTGACGTGAGTTCTGTAATTATTATTTTCAGAATATAAATTATTATTATGAAATGAAGACTTGCTGATATGTAGACGCCAGTAAATTTGCTTCATTGTTTGAAGAGTTTTGAAGCATTTTCGATTGGCTTTGAACGCCATTCCATTTAATTAAGTTTAGACAACCGATTAGCATTATTAACTCACACAAATGAAAGAAGTGTGGTTTAAAGTCGGATACACTAATCAATATTCGATTACCATGTTACATTACTGTTATTCAACTTGACTGAATAGATTGGTACGACGATGAAGAACTAGTGCATACCTGTTTCGGTCTGGGCACCCAGACAGTATCACAGCCCTCACACATATCGAATGAGACTTGTGTGGCGCATATGTATTTGGTGCCTCCTTGTACCAATATCTGTGTTAAAATAAATAAATAGTGCATATAAGATCACTGTCCATTGTACAATATTTCTTACAGTAAGAAACGAATTTCAGAAAATAACACTGTCTGTAACTCTGAAAAACTGTTAGTTAATCGATGTACAACTCTTTTATGCATTTAAAATTAACCTTGCATTACACTAGTAAAATGGACAAATATTATAAACCGTTGAGTTTATGAACAGTGAATTATCTAACTGGATTGCTGAGACCATGTGGCATCAAGAATCAAGCATACAAACAAAAAATACCAATCTATCGACTGACACAACAAAGTGTTTAGGTCTCAACAAACTACTTGCTAATACATGGAACTCATTTAATATCTGTCAAAACGGTGAGACTATAATTTATGAACGAATGAATCACATTCAGGATAACAGGTCTTGGATTTCGGCGCGAAATTCATTCACCCATTTGTTTAAATAGTGTTTTGGCATTTTAGTTGATGTCAGTTCATGATGAAAACCCTAAATCTAACTCTTAACCCTAACCATCAACTGTAAGTCATAACTTTTGTTCTTCACACGGCTTAATAAGCCTCATTTAGCCTTAGTAAATTGGAGGACGTTCTCAAGGTCACTATAGAGTCGCTCAAAAGTCGTCCATAAATTATAGTCTCAACAATATCCTTTATAATAAAACATCTGTGTTTACATTTGCTTTAATAGTTACGGTATTTGTTTTAACTGAGTGAATACTTAGAATACGTAGGTCAAAATTTGAGTTGAATAGGGAATTTGTAGAGAAGTTCAGACAGTTCGCATTTCCAAACAAACTTTCTCCACTTGCAGATAATTTTTCAGTCAGCTATGAAGCATCGACAATTATAATCGTATCGATAAACATGATCAGTTTTTAATTATCACTTCTTGGGCTACATTTCTATTCTTTCCATTATCACGAGTTTTTAAATCACTATTATTTATTCATTAAAATAATTACTAGTGTATTTCACGTTAAATAACTTCCTTTAGAATAATTATGGGATGTAACATCTAACTTCGTGAGAATGATGTAGCAAGAATCTACTATTGTGTAGGTACCAGGAGAAAAATAGTGGTCATCAAATAAAAGAAAATGAAATCGTAATCACTATGAAATTCAAGAGTTTTCGATGATTAGTTTGTTGACTTCCAGTATTTTAATGTTTTTCCAGTCGACACTAATCCTTAACAGAATCGTCTTCAGAATAAACGTTAGAACTATGAACTTGGATAAATTAGACCTATTATTAAATTTCTTCGTTATCTATAGCCAACTAATTACGAATCCTTTGTCATTTAATCATCCTCGTCATATTAAAAGACTCGTATTTGAACGAAGAATATTCTTTTCTATAAATTCTCTTCGTGTTCTACAATTATATATCCAAATTAATAATCCGAAAAATAACCAGGTTAAGGGCAAAGTACATCGTTTAAATCAAGTGAATTTAGGATTGTGATGAACAAAATACAATAAAATTGTTAATGTTAATATGACTCATATAGAATGTTACCTTGAATCTGCGTGTATGTTAAGTGAGATTTATGATCCATGATCAGAATAAATATGGGTCAAATAGAGTGAGATGGAAATAATAGTGCAATTACAATTCGATCAAATAGGTAAGACGTAAGTAATACACAGAGATGAATGCGAAGTGAATGAATCATGTATAGGGGAGATCAATGATGTTTAACCAATAATAATAATAATAATAATAATAATAATAATAATAATAATAATAATAATAATAATAAAATAGAGATTCATGCATAAAGATAACAGGGACAATTACAATTAGAATGAGTTTTGTGGAGAATTTAGGAAGTTTCACAGGTTGAAATCATGAGTCAGTTGAAGCTAGACCACCATGGAAAACCTGGAAGCACTGGACGGCCGTTTCGTCCTAGTATAGGACTCCTCAGCAGTGCGCATCCACAATCCCGCACCACGCGGGGCTCGAACCCAGGACCTACTGGCTTCGCGCGCGAGCACTTAACCATTAGACCACTGAGCCGGCATCCAAT